ACATCCTTACTTTTTTGCTGACTTTACAATGGGCAAACAAGAACTACTTTCAAAGTTGTATTACTTAAAACTACAAATTTTCCATTAACGTTTATATAAATCTAACAAATATGCTAAAGACCATCCATATACTTTCTTGAATGAAAATAACAAAAAATTAACTCTAAAGCCTCCTAATTTATAATACTAAGAGAAGGCATACTACTTTTTCTAGCTTAATTATATAATCTTCCTCAACAATAATAATGTTGTTCCTCAACATTATTATTAATGTTTGTAATAATGGACAAACATTATTAATACTGACCTACATTTATTGAATGAATGATATACAAAAAACGGAAGCTTTCTCTATTTTGTTTGAATGAATCAACCTTCTGATTAATGTACTGTTTAAAAGGCCAAATTTTCACATTATATCCTATACTACTAAAATAGTTTCAAATTCAATACTGGTACTAATAATCTTTCAGCCTCCTCTAAACTAGAAGGACAATGTAAAATGAATGTTAATAACAACTTCATGCTTCTTTTCTTAACTTCTAAAGCTAGAGGTACTATCAGCTACAACCCAGTTGTTGGCTATCCCAAAACTATAAAGCAGAAAGAATTAGTCTAAGAGTAAGAAACTTTAATGAATCTGTTATGCTTTACTACATAATTTCTCTATAAGAAAATATATGAAGAATGAAAAATTTATAGCTAATACTGTGCTGTGTATAATCTGGAAGACTAGTAATACGGCTTTCCTGTATGTACAGTCCAGGTAGTTCTATGTAACAACTACCTTCCCTTTGAAAGGGAAACCTATTATGAAGATCAAAGCTGTTCCCCTAAATATGGCCAATATTACTGTAGCTAGAAGGAAAAAAAAACCCAAACACTAACTGTCCCTGTTTGCCCTTAGACTCTTCATATTCTTAAGTACATCACAGATGATCTTAAAATTCAGCTTTTTCAGTAAAGTCAGTCACTCTGTGGGTTCCATCTCAGTAAATAATCTCGACATCATTCGCTATCAATGCTACACACAGGTGGAGCTCATCTATAATTAAAGAGTGGACATTACATCCAGAGATTCTTGTCACGATTTAGCAAGCTCTTATTAACTAATAACTGAAGCTATTTTCAGGACCTCAAAGTACAGGTCTTAAGAGCCTGATCACACTCTAGAGACAGTCACTTTCATAACATATCTCCTGAACTCTAAAGGCTAAGCCAAGAAACACAAATAAGAGGAAAGGACAGTATTTTCATTCAAACATTACCCCTCCAATTCCAATTAAGCTTGTCAAGCCCATGTGGACAAAGCCATGGACAGCACAGATGGTAAGGAATGGCTTTTCAAAGATAAGGAAAAACGGTTTACCTGACAGCAACTAATCCTACATAGTGGAACAAAAGCTCAGAAGTAAGACCCATGGCAACAGCAAGAAAGAAACTTCTTGGGGCAGAATGATTTGGTCCAAACCCCTACGGTTTCCAAGAGTTTCACAACTACCACTTCCTTTCTTCAAAAAAGTTTTGTGGCCCTTGTTGTTACTGTGCATACAAAAAAAAAAAAATTTAAACATTATCAACAAAAAGATGTAAAATGACATTTACTGTGCAAAGCAAGAAAGCTTATAAACAGGATTAAACTCTTCCTTTGTAAACAGTTTACAAATACAGAAACTTCCTTACTGTTTTCCATCTTAAAAAGAATCAATGTTTACAAAAAGGTCTACTTAAAAACGCAAATTGTGTGTTAAACTGTAGTATGTTACAACTTTTACTCTTGTGAACAATAATGAATGCATACTTAAAACATGCACTCAAAACACTAAAAAACCTGACTTTACTGATGAGATTGTATTTACAGTAAGTAGTCTTACACATCTATAAAAGATCCCATAAGTTCAATTACCACTCTAGTTTGCAATGAAAACAAACAATCCCAAAAAATATTTTTATACTTTTTACACATCGGTTTTGTAAAACACAATCCTGAAATAAACACTTGAAATTTTGGTTAAACTACAAATTACCTTAAATTATAGTAAGTATATATCCAAATAGCATACCTAAAATACAATAGCTAAAAGTATGTGTGTGTGTGTGTGTGTGTGTGTATATATATATATATATATATATATATAAACCATAAGCAGTTATTTTTTCTTTATGGAATACTATGTATTCACTACTTCTGATTAGCAACCTATGCAGATTGCAGTATGTACAAGATTGCTAATTTGGAAGAATTTTGAAGGTAATTAACCACACTTTTACCAAAGAATAAATAAATCAGTAAAATACTATACCACAGAGGAGCACATATATATCCTTACTGAAGGCTCATGCACCTATGATTTTAAAGTTTATATATTAAAAACCTGTAATGGTTCTTGACAGGCATGGTGGCTCACACCTGTAATCCCAGCACTTTGGGAAGCCAAGGCCAGAGGATCACTTAAGGCCAGGAGTTCAAGACCAGCCTGGGCTATATAATAAGACCCTGTTTCTTTAAAATACATATTTAAAAAAATCAGCCAGGCATGGGGGGGGGTGTGCCTATAGTCCCAGCTACTTAGGAGGCTGAGATAGGAGGATCCCTTGAGCCCAGACGCTGCAGTGGGCTATGATGGTGCCACTGCACTCCACACCTGGGCAACTAAGCAAGACCCTGTCTCTACCCAAAAAAAAAGAAAGAAACCCTACAGTACCTATAGTGGTTCCTTACAATGAGACCTACTTGTGAATAATGTTATTAATATTTATGAAAAAGTAACAAAAAATTCTGCTTTTAAAAATTAGCAGCTACTACTGAGTATCAAACACTAGTGTAGTCATACACTTCATTTAAGAATTTTAGAAAAACTTACAGGGAAACAAGTTATAGACAGAATGGGTCCAAATTCACTCATAACCATAATGTTACTTAAAAAAAAAAAATCAGTTTCAGTACCATGTGCCAACCTACCACACAATATTATACCCTTCAGCTAAAGGAATAATGAATTTCTCTCCCACCACTTCTTCCCAAAACACAAGCTCCAGAAAACAGGGATCTTGGTCTTTCTTTCAAACTATACTGATATATTACAAAAAACTGCTACAACAGTGCCTAGCACACAGTACTCAATTTTTGTAGAAGGAATGAAGAGAGAGGATGAAGGGATGGGAAATTGGCAAATCTAAAGAAATCAAAGAGTTGATTACAGATAGATGACAGTACAACTGGTTAGTCAGAATAATTTTAGCATAAGTGAACTGATGTCAAAAATGATCTATTCCAAGTTTCAGCAAAAAATCAGAATTAGAAAACTCAAGACCTCAAGAATGAACTTAGTATAAGACTAACATTTCCTAGAAATTCTATTTCATAAAAATAATGGCTTCACAAAATTCTGAATAATTCTAAACTCTGCTTTTAAAAACCAGAATTAAGAAAATTAACATTACTCCCAAACCGAAAAGCCCAACTCTTTGCCCAGTTAGAACAGAAAACAGGCTAGCGAACTTCATTAGTACTCTCTTGTCAACATTTCTCACTTTCTGATGTAACTTCTCACATTTATCTAGAAAAAAACTTCAAACATTCAAAACCCCTTTAATTAGTATCAAAGCACTTAATTCTCCTAAGTATACCATACCTTTATTTATATAAAGCCGGGAAATTTCTGCACATTGACATTAGTGTTTATATTCCTGCAATTTCAGAATTCTGCATCAGGTGTATTGTTGTAAATTTGAAGAATTCAGAAAGGTCCTCAAGTTCTCTAGGACTATGCTACTCGCTCAACTGGGACAATCATACTAAGGTAGTAAGTCTTTGCGCACTACAACTGCACTTGAGAAAAAGCATGCTTTAAAAAGGAAATACAAATCCCCCTCTTTCACTCCCACACGATATAATGTATTTATGATTCTAAGAAGGGAAAACCACGATCTTTCTCTAGTTTTACTTTCAAAAATCTTCTGTTCAATTGCTAGTTTGTCTATCGTGACGTACGTCTGTTACTGTAGCGACACGGGCAAGTATGTCCAGTTTCTCTGTTACAACAGTACATTTTAACTGCTTGCCATGGGCTATCTGAATCAGATATGACATCCAATGTTATACCCTATATACTAAATACTGCAAGTGTAGGACTCGACGTACATGCCAAAAAAAAAAAAGTTTCTGATCAAAACACGTTTGCTATCACTAAAACCGATAGAGTAATGCAACTCTGCTTCGTGACTATACTCATTCTTTCAGGCTCCTATGGCTAAGAAATGGAGAATCAATTGTCCAATTCTCTCTCATTTCACCCTTGGCCCTTCTACGAGTGGCGAGGCAATTCCTGCACAAGAGTTTGTAAAGTGCTTAGGAAGCTTGCGGGATGAAAGATGCTATAAATACACCCGATGTTATTAGTCTATTACCATTGAGCATTACGTGGAACTACTGTCACTGCGTCGGGGTTAGGTTGATGGCATAACCCTTCCTGAGGAGGGGGAAAGGTGAGAGGGCAGTCCCCTTCATCACCCTGAAAGCTAGGCCGGGTAATTTTTGAAGCTGCAGGGAAACCACACGCGAAAAGTTACACACACGCCCCACGCTGGGAGGACTCCCATAGTCCCCGCTCTTCCACGGCCGGAGTCCCTGGCACCGAGCGGGGTGGGAAGTGCTGAGGATTGGGCCTACACCCCAGTAACGTGGGGAGGTGCTGGGGCAGCGAGGGAGCCCCGGCCGCAGCCGACACCCGCGGGGCGGCTGGAGGGGCAGCTCTCGGGCGGGGGCGCGGCGCCCCGGCGGGCGCCGGGCGCGGGGGAACGGCCCGGGAGGGCGGCCGCGCCGGGGCCCCGCGCCGCCCCGTTGTCGGGAAGGCTCGCGCCCCGCGGCAGCGGGCGTGGGGGAGGGGAGGCCGGGCCTGCGGCCTGTTGGGGGAGTTCAGCCCGGGCCTCGCGTGCGGCTCTCGGCCAGGCCCCCGGCCCCAGGGTCCCGGGCACCGAGGAGAGACTCACCGGAAAGGCCCGGATCCGCATCTTGGTGTCCTTCCGGCTGCCCGTGCCTTTGCTCAGATTCGACATGGTGCTCGTCCCCTCCCCGGCGGCGGCTTCAGGTCGCGCTCCGAAGCGCCGGTGTCACATTTAAGGCGGGCGGGCAGGCGAGGGGCGACGCTGGGGGCGGCGGCGGCGCGGCCCCCGGGCAGGGCTGGGAGCTGGCCGGCCCCTGGCGGCCGCGGCGGTGGCGGCGGCAGCGGCTTGGGTTCTGGCGGCTCGGACTCGGCTGGGGGGCTGCGCTGGCGCAGCGGCTCCGCGGGGTCCCCCTCACGCCCGGCTCGGCTCCCTTTATCGCGCTCCTCCGCGATGGCGGCGGCGGCGGCGACGGACAAACATCTCACTGCGCAGGCCGAACGTCCTCCTCCTCCTCCTTCTCCTCCTCCGCCTCAGCGAGACGAGATCCGGCCCAGAGGGTGGAGGGGGGAGGAGGGAGGGAGGAGAGCCGGAGAGTGGAGAGATTGGGGGGAGGGGGGTGGGAGGACGGGAGGGGGAGGCGGGCGGCCGCGGCGGGGACGCTCAGATCTCGCGAGAAATGGGTGAGCGCGCTGCCCCAGGTGGGGCGGGGCGAAGCCCGGGGCGGGCGGGCACAACCAGAAGGGGGGGAACGGAGTTGGGGGGAAGTGGGAGGGGCCAGCGGGGCGGGGAGGTGGAAAGGGGCGGGGATGAGGGCGGGAGGAGTAAGCTGCCTTTTTGAAAGAGGAGCGTCGGAGACCGGGTTCTGGGCGGAGGTGGTTGCTGATTGGTGGAGCACGAAGAGGGCGTGGGGACCCTGGTTACGTGGACGGAGTGGGCGGGGGAAGTTCGGAGAGGCCGGCGGGGTTGTAGTGGGCTGGGCCGGCTAGGCTGGGACGGGCGGAGGATGGTCCCGGGGAGGGGCATGGGGTGCGAGGTGGATAACTACGTCCTAGAACTGGTTCCTGTGTTTTTCTAGGGCATGTGGACTAGGGATGGGTACTTGAACAGAAGCCAGCAACCCGAAGGAAGAGTTTGTGCAGGAGTTAACTGCAGTGTTGGAATGACTGTCCTGTATGTTTAACAAGGTATTCGGACTGGATGTGCACACCCCAGCTCTCAGGACCTAGAGTGGAGATGTTAAATCTACAAATACATTTTCTGCTGGACTCAGGGCTTATAAACGTTAAAACCTGTTTTTCATTACCATTAAAATAAAATGACAGCTCCCTTAATGTAATGCAATTATTTTGGTAAATATTGTTAAATGGAATGATAGAAACCTATCTTTAACCTGACAGATCATTTCTACCATTACAGCGAGCATTGTAGATTTTTAAAGACAAAATTACCGTCTGATTCAGTTTGCTCTGTGTTTGGAAGGGTTTTTGTTTTTGTATTTTGGGGGGAGAGTTACTCCTAGTCAAAACGTCTAGTTTGACTCATCAGTTTTGCTTTTCATTCATTATGAATTGTACTTCCTGATTTACCTACTTGCCCAATTGTTGTTCGACTTGAGTTTCCAACTCTTCCGGGGAAGATGTGAGTTTCAGTGTTTGTGATCTTCCCATTTTAAATAAGCTGTTGTTGGGATGGATATCTACATTTAAAAACTGGGATTTCAATACTTTTTTGTATCACACTTAATAAGTAAACTGAAATATACTTAATTATTTGTTGACTATAAGGTTGAATTTGCCCTAAATTAATCCTGGTGACTAAGCTTATGGGTGTTGTGCTTTCAGCCCTACTTGGTTGAAATGCCCCATTGGAAATATCATATTTTCTTGTTTTGTTTTTTGGTATTTGCTAATCAAAACAGGAGCTTAAGAAAGGAGAATGAATGTTGCTTGAGGCAATGTCTGTGTAAATCCTGAAGCTAAAAATAGGTCATCAAGAAATGTGTTAATAAGGTAAGATTGGGAGGGGCTCTATCTTCAATGTAAGATAATATGAGTCTTGGGTAGGAGTTTGTAATCTGTGTGCTGGTTGAACCTCTATTTCCATAATTATTAGATTATAATCATAAACAATGTTTTTCTGTTGGTTGTACTGTCATATGGCCCAGTTTCTGTGTAATATCAGAATATATGTTCTGGAGCCATTGATTTGAATCCCAGCTTTGCCACTTTACTTAAAACAGTGTTATGTGTCTTTTGGGACATAAACTTGACTGTGACTGGAGTTCCTCATCTGTAAAACAGAGATAATAATAATACTTCCTCCTTGAGCTATTATGAAATTTAAATGATTGAATACATTTTAGAAAGCCCTGAGAGCAGTGCTCAGCATGGAACAGCCACTCAACACCTGTAAGCTATTATCATGGGCATTAAGGCCAAGGTTATATCTTCCTTTATTCTATATGAAGGTTTCTTAAAAAAACATTTATATGCTTTTATAACATGTATCATATTTTAAAACTAAACAAGTCTTTGATATTTGGAGTTTACAGACCAATAAAATGTTTTTCTATAAGCTGGAGAGTCAATATAGGGTCGCCTATTTTGGCAAGTAAGGGCTTTAAAAAGGAATAACTAGCATAGACTATCCCCACCATTTATTAAAGAAAAAGTATTTTAACCTCAGAAATGAAGGAAGGTCCATTTTTGAGTAAAAGACAGTTCTTTCAATTGGTTAATTTACCCTTATGATGAACAATACATTGCACTGATTTTTCTCATTTCACTGTGAACTGGAGAAAACATCATGGGCCAGCATTTAGGAACCCACTACATTAAGGTATATTTATATTTAATTGTAAAGTACATAATCACTCTTTGTTTTGTGAACCCAGATTTTCATATGTTGGTGTTGCTGAAGCAAAATTTAGCTGCATTTAAAAGAATCACTATCAACTGTGTCTTTCCTTAGGTTTTTAACCATTGAGAACCAGAAAAATGTTTCAAAATGAGTTTGTCATAAAGAATTCTGCTCATTTATGTGTTCACTTATTCATTCATTCAAGAAATATTTACTGAACGACTACTATATGTCTTATTCAGGTGAATGAGACAGATGAGACCTGCCATCACAAAATGAATAGTCCTTTTTCACATCTCAAAATTTGCAAACCACCAACCCGAGTTTGATTTGGCAACAACTTCCTATATACTTCAGTCCAGAGGTCAGAGATTTTCCTTCATAAGGAAGTAACATCCTCAAAATGTACACCTTTAGAAGGTATGTAGTAAAACCTTCTAAAACAGCAGTAGACTATTCTTCTGTGCCCAGCGGTATTCCCTGACTTGCACATAGTGAATGAACTATTAGCTTTTCTGCAAACTGCCACCTGATCTAGCAGAGAAAACAGTGCTGGAATAGGAACTCACTAGATCTTACATGCCTGCCTGTTGGTATTCCTACTCATGCTGACGGTGTCCTGACACAGGGAAACAGTGGCCCCATTTCTATTTATTCGTATGGAGCATGTGCAGTCAGAGAGGTTGGACGGCTGGGTGGGCCAGCCCATTTTCTATATCCGTGTCTGTAAAAGAGCAGTATGAAGTAAGAGGAGCTGGTAAATGGGAGTAATGGCCTCTTACTGACTATGGCTTTCTAAGTATTTAGGATACCAAGCCACTTTAATCACCATTTCAGACCTACTGATTTGATTGTGCAAGACACTGGTTATTAAAACAGCTCACAGCCTACCAAATCAATTATTATAGAAAGACCTGCTCAGTGGTTTTGAAGAGACCAAAAAACTATGTTAGGAGAAGATGCATGTTTTTTCAAACTGGAAGGTGAAGATATATAGATATTATCAGCAATTTGATTGGAAGGCCTAGATCTACTTTCTTTCTCATCCCCACCAGGCAAATAATAAGCCATTAGACGTGGAGTTGTACGTATTTAGAGTAGTAGCATGCATATGTGCATTATAAGAAGACATGTTATTAGCAAAATAAGAGTTCCCCATTGAGAACATAACCATAGATACTTAAATATATGAAAGCTGTAGGCCTTTCCCATGTACCTTTTCTACTTTGTCCTTACCATTTTCCTTTTATCACTGAGACAAGAAACATATAAGCATGTGAGACAAGTTACATCTTGAAGTAAAGAAAAAATCTCCAGTGTCTGATTATATCATAAAAAACCATCTCAATTTTTCATCACACTGTCATACTGAATAAAATCATCTCACTGGCAGCTCTGGAAACTTTCTAGGTGGCTTGAATAGTGTTCTGTTTACTCTATATTTACCAAATAAATTAATATTTTAGAAATAAAAATATCTATGTATACAACCAATTTAACAGAATATAAATTCTCAATTAAAAATTATAGGTACTGCATCCATGTAATTTTATTTTGAATAAAAAGAATTTCCTCTTATTGATACCATTACAACAGTAACTATATCAGGAAACCTCCAGGGGACAATTATGAGTATGCATTGCTTTTACTCACGACAAGTAAAGTATATGTTGAAATTTATAACTCATGAGCTCTGTCTTTGTGAAGTAAGTTAATTTTGCAGTTGACATAAAGCATAGTCCTAAAAGAGCTATAATAGTAATAATCTAAATTTTATGTTAAATTTAATAATTGTATGAATTATAAATATAACAGTCAACAAATATAATAAAATAGCATTATCTTTAAACTTCTTCAATAAGCTGTTTGTCTTCAGTTCATAATAAAACTGTATTCTTAATTCTTATACCTTGTACTGGTAGAAATAAAAATCTGACTAAGGTAAAGGAGCTGTTATAGGGAGAAAAGAATAACTTTTAAGAGACTAATAGATATGAAACTTATTGGAGCCTATTTCTAGCCCCAAATTGATATAATGAATTAATTCCTAGAAGTAAGTTGATTTAAAAGTACTGGTCTTTGAATCTTCTAATTCTTGCACGGCTGGGTATTTGGGCACAAGACCCACTTAATGGGCAGTTCTGAAGTAATGACAAATGGACACCTTGATAAGATAAAACCATCAACTTTACATCTAACCCAGTTAAAAATCTTTTAAAGAATTTTCATTTATGAGACCATTAGAAATGGTACTTCTCTGTTACTGAAATTTTCATTGAGAAGTACCTGTTTCTATAAGAACCTTCCTGAGGGGGGGGATTATTTTAGATGCTTGGATCATTAAGGCGGTTTTGCATTCTTTTACTAATTATTATAGTGACATTTGTCCTTTTTTGCGAGGGGGCGGTGGGAGGGCATGTTTCCTATTAGCACCTTGGTCTCTTGTTTTAAAGTAATTACTCACTGGGTGTGGTCTCGGTGGGTAGTGGTTTTCACTTGCTACCACATTAGCCAAAGGGGCCTGATCCTCCAAATCCACTGCCCTGCTCAGCCTGGAAGAGGATGTATAGTGGAGACGTGGGCAATTAGACCCTCTGCTAGAAACTCCAACTCAAGCAGGTGACTGAAGGACACAAGACAGTTGGTGGGCATTTGGGTAGTGGCAATGGGTGGCCTGGGCTCTTGCCACTGAATGCCTTTAGCTATCATTTCCACTCCTCATCTTTCCAGCTGTCCTCTGGTCCTCTGGGTTCCTGCTTGTTCTCCAACCCTGGTCCCCACCTCCCCTTGTTTCTGTGACTCTAAACATGCCTTCCCCAATTCCATTTTTTGCTTAAAATACTCAAAGTTTGTTTCCACTGTGCACGAGTCAGAGTCTTGGCATGAAACAGATGGCCCACTCAAACAGGGAAATTGAGGGGAGCTTAATGAAGGGACTTGGCAGAGTATGGGCAGAATTAGGGAGTGATCAAGGCGTGATGAAGCATCTCAGGACTAGAGAAGTGGCCACCAGAAATTCTTGCTGCCGCTGTGGGAAATGGCTGCCTGACAAGCTGAGGCCTTAGGGAAGGACCAAAGCTACTGACCACCTCTGATGCAGGAAAGGGGGACCAGGGGTCAAAATACCTGCCTCACTCTCTGCCTTCCCTCAGACCTCTTGCTGGTGCCTCCCATTGGATGATCCTAACTGGAAGCCAGAGGGCAAGGGAACCATTGATGGGGTCCACACAAGTCAGCCAGGGCGCTGCCTTCCAGCGGGGAGAAGGGTAGAGACTACATCTGGGGAGGCTAACAAGGAATATCCAGGCAGAGTGCTTTCAAACAAGACCTTTGAGTGATAAAAGTTTTATATGTATATAAATTTATTTTAAAGCCCTTATATCATGTAGAGTCTGTGCACACATGGAGGTGTCTATCTAAGGATGCAAGTGGAGACTGGTATCCAAGGCTTATGCCCTGCAAGTACCAGCATCATCCGGAGGCAGGAGCACCTGTTTCCTTGATCCAAGGTGCCAGCTCCACTCCTCAGCTATGAAGCCGAGGGGCTGCATTTGTTTGGTTGGTGGGCAGGGACTTTGGTCCTCTTCTAGTCTGCACAAAGCCACAATATAGATTAGCAGCGCTGTGCATTACCAACACACTAATATTTTAGACTATAAAATAATATAGCATAGTGGTTAAGAGTGCCAGTTCTAGAGTCAGACTACCTTGGTTCTAATCTGGATTCTGCAATGTGTTAAGTGAGCCCCATTTATTCACATTGGTAAAATTAGGTTGATAATATAATGGTGCCACCCTCGTAAGGCTGGTGTGAGGATCAAATGGAATAATGTAGATAGTGTTCAGCACTTTCCCCGGCACATAGTTTGAACTCAAAGAATATCGGCAGTTATTTTATGGTGAGTTTCTAATCTCATTTCTGTCTTTTCAGTCTAGGTTTGGTAAATGACAAATGAGTATTTACTAGTTTCTGCATTCATGCAACCACTGCAACATCCTGTTGTTCCATCTCTTCCCGGCTGCCTAGTCCCATCACCCCTGACGCAATGACCTCCCTATTATTTATATCTTGTACCTCTACTTTCATTCTCTCCCAATTGTGTCACCTTCCAATCAGCATTCATCTTCCCTGCAACATTGGCTTCTCTAGGTCTTTTCCCTAGCTGTCTCTCATCTATGCAGGGAGTTCCCAGGTTATCTATCCTTCCAGGGAGACTCAGGAGCAACAAGGCTCCCAGATACAACCGAAAAGAAGAAACAGTGATGGGAATTCAGCCTTGAGTTTTAAGCCAGGTCAAAATCTTCAATAGGCTTTAAATTGTTGACTCTCTGTATGTATGTATGCATGCATTTATTTATCTTTAGAGACAGGATCTCACTCTGTTGCCCATGCTAGGGTGCAGTGGTGCAATCGATCATAGCTCACTCCAACCTTAAACACCTGGGCTTCAGGCAGTCCTCCCGCCTCTGAGTAGCTACAACTACAGGCATGCACCACCACACCTAGCTAATTTTTTTATTGTTTTGTAGAGACAGGGTCTTGCTATGTTGCCCCACTGGTCTCAAGCTCCTGGCCTCAAGGAATCCTCCCTCCTCAGCTTCCCAAAGTGCTGGAATTACAGATGTGAGCCACTACACCTGGTCCCTCTCTGCATTTAAGATTTGATTCCATCACAATTCTAGGATTAAAACTTCAAATCTATTATGATTATTTTAAGACTAAACAATGGACTTTTAAAAATAAAAATGTAAAGCAATGTATCCTGATTGTGGTCTTTCTTATACTGTGTTCTTTCTTTCTAAAACATAACAATTATAAACTTTGGATATGTTAATTAAGTGTGGTCCAATTCATGATGATTTGTAGTCCTGCATTCCTTTCCCCACTGAGATGACACTTTTGTCATGTTCAAGGGGGCAGCAAAGCTGGGCCTTACATCATTACAACAGGAAAGCTAAGGGTCTTATGTCATTAAGTACGTGGCAAGTTAAATCATACCTTAAGAATTTGATCAAAAGGATGATGCTATATTACGTCAAATACTTTTTTTTTATGTCTGTTGATAAGAAGGCAGTTCTTCCCATAATTGTATCCAGACTTTTAGAAGTCATAAGAATGGTCCACATGGCTTTGGTATGATCAACTAGTTCACCATCATTTTTTGATGAATTGACATGGCTACTACCTAATGTTACACTAATCAGTGCTGCATGGTAACACGTGACCATGGCTAGGGATAGGGAAGGATTACAAATTAATTGAATACACACAATATTGGTTTTTAAAACAAGCTAACAGACTCTCCTCTATATCAATATATGATACCTTTGAACTCCAAGAAGATTAGCAAATATTATATGGTTATATCAAAGCAATAGAGTAGATGAGCCACTGGAAAAATACATGAAATTAGATGACTGTCAACAATTAAGGTTGCCCATGAAAATTATAGTGCATCTGCTGTGGTTTGTCTCCACCAAAGCTTATGTTGAAATTTGATCCCCAGACGTGGTGGTGCTGGGAGGCAGGGCCCAGTGGGAGGTGTTAGGGTCATGGAGGTGGTTCCCTCATGAATGACCTGGTGCTGTTCTGGCCAGTGAGTCCTCTCATGAAACTGGACTAGTTCTCTGGGAATAGATTAGTTTCTGCAAGAGCAGGTTACCATAAAGCGAGGTTCCTCTTCCTGTTTGTTCTCTCTTAGCACATGTCCACTTCCCCTTTGACCTTCACCCTGTTTTGACCTAGCACATGGCCCTCATCAGAAGCTGAGCAGATGCTGGTACCATTCCGCTTGTACTTCCCAACCTGCAGAACCATGAGCTAAATAAACCACTTTTCTTTATAAATTACTCAGTCTCAGATATTCTATTATAACAACACCAAACAGACTAAGATAGTGTCTGAATCAGCTAAATTGCTTTCCATTGCAAGTAATAGAAAACCTAACTGCAAATGACTAAGAGATAATCAGATCTACTGTCTCACATAATAAGAAGTCCAGAGCTAGGATGGGTTCCAGGCCAGAGCCCAACTTTGTAACAATTTTCTTGCCCCTGACCTTTTCCTTAAGCTGGTGGCAAGGTGATTATAGTCATTATAGATATCACAGATGCATCAAGGTCCAGACATGAGAAAGAAGAGAGACTGTTTGTTACTTATATGTCTTTGTTATGAGCTAGAAAACTGTTTCCAGAGGAAGGAGACTCTCTCATGGCTCATTAGCCAAGACTAGGTTACATGCCTATTTTCACCCATTCTGTGGCAAGGGGAATGGGCATAGTTAATAGTAGCCATTGGAGTGGAATAGATCTTGGTAGTCAACCACTAACACCTATTAGTACAAAGCTCATTTATTTATCTCTGTTTGCAGAGATTTTACATGGCGATTAATGAGTTTGAGGGAGTACAGAGAGGAAACACCTATGAGGGGTGTATGTGTTTGTGTGAATAATAGAGTGTTTGGTTAATGGAGGTTCATGATCTCAGGCCCCAAGCTACACTGAAAGAATAGTGCCCATATATTGATGATGAGATCAGAGACAAGTACATCACAAGATTAGAGACAAGTACATCACTAGATCAGAGACAAGTATATCACAGCCAGGGAGCCACAGATAGGTGCAGCTTGTCACAAAAAGATACCATGGGCATGCACATTTTCACAGACATCTACACTCTCCTTTGAGGGATTGTAAGCTTCTCTTTCAGAG